TGGAGTCCATTCTGACCCACAGCGCCCCTAGAGGACAGAGTGGAACTGCCCACAGGGTCTCCAAGGCTGTCAATCTTTACCAAAGTAAATTGCCTCATCTTTCTCCTTTGGTGGGTTTGAACTGCCAACCTTTCAGTCGGCAGCTGAGTGCTTTAACCACTGTGCCACCAGAGATCATTATACTCAATACCTTCAATCAAACTGTCAGCGGCACTCAAGGATGACCATGCTAGGACAATCACCAAACCGCACTAGCTGATTTTGCACTTACAACATGAACTGCTTTCAGGACTTTTTAAGAACAAGCAATCACAATAGAACAGGACCTTCTTGTGGCGTAACTTTAACTGCACAACCTTTGCTACGTACCGGGAATCAAATCCTACTTCTGAAAACAACAAACACAAAAACTTAACAGCTGCCACAGCAACACTCCAGGAGCCATGGTGGTGGACTGGTTAAGTGCTCTACTGCTAACCAGAAGGCAGGTGGCTCGAACCCATCACCCCACCCCTGGAGAGCCCTGGAGATCTGCTCCTAGGACACCCACGGGGCAGCCCTGCCGTGACACGGGCCACTGTGAGTGGGGCTCGACTTGATGGAACCAGCCACCACCACCACCTATAGCCACATTGGCCCCGATGCACTGGTCACCCGGGCAGGACACCCTCACTGCTGAAGGGCTCGTGTGTCTCTTACAGTAATAACTTCAAATGGATTCATAAGCATGTCTTTGAGAGCCAAAAATCTGAATGTCTTCACGTAGTGAACAGTCACAAAACTTTGGGGATTGTGGTAAGGCACATGACAGACAAAACGGTATCCAAACTGCAAAAATTTTAATCTCAAAATCTATTTTTCACATGAACATCAACTCAAAATCTTTTCTAGTTGCTGTAAAGAACAGGGAGGAAGGGACGACTTTGCCTTTGGGGCAGGTGGGAGAAGGGAGGGCTGAGAGGCGGGAATTCCTGGAGACTTCTTCCCGGTTCCCAGGGGGCTGTGGCAGGGGCCCCGTCCCCGTCCCAGTCCTGCCACGCTGACCTCTGCCCCCT